CCCATCGCCCCGCCCCGCGCCGCCGCCATCTTGGAAGCGGGCACGCGGCGGAAACGGCCCTCCTCGGCTTCCGGCGCCGGCGGGCGGTGCGCGCTCTGCTGCCTCCTGGCGGCGGGCGGGGATGGAAGGAGCGCGCGGGAGCCAGGCCATCCATCCGAGGCGGCGGTGCCCGGACCGACCGCGGTCGTTTATTTACGGAGCTGCATTGCTAACACGCGGCGAGGTGTACGTTACAGAGAGAGAGCGCGCGGCTGGGACAGTCCGGGGCGGGCGCCGGCGTGCACCCGGTCCTCGCCGCGGGGTCCTCCCACGGCCGGCTAGGAGCCCTCGGTGTCGGTGTTGTCGCTGCCCGTGGTGTTCTCCCAGTCTACCTCCCCCTGTTTCCAGCCGTGCTGCATCTTCCTGAGCGCGCGCTTCCTGCGGAGACGCCGACGCCGCGCGTCTGTGCGGGTGTCCGCGGGTTTGGGAGGCTGCGACCCCTCCGCCCCTCCCCGCCGGCCCCTGCCCGGACCTGCCTGGGCAGCCTGCCGCCCACCTGCGGTAGTTCTCGAAGCTCTCCTTGAGGCGCCGCCGCTCCTTCTCGGGGGGCTCCCCGCCGCTCAGGCCTGCGTCCTGGGGGAGGGCGAGGCTCAGGCTCCCGCCAGCCCCGGGGGGGCCCACCCCCTCACCTGGGACTGCAAACGGGGGGCCAGGCCGGGAGCCCACAGCCCCAGCTCAGCTCAGCACGCAGACCGGCTCTCCATCTGCGTGCTGCGTGCACCCCAGGGGAGCGGTTGGGTCCCGCCTTTCACATGACAGGACAGGCCCAGGACGCCGGGACTGCACTCCCGGCCAAAGTTTCTTCTCCTACAGCGCCCGAGGCCGCCCTTTTGCCGTCGGGATTCTGGTGCAGTGGACAGCGAGGGTAACGCTGCGCCCGCACAGAAGACAGGCTTCCGTGGCTGCCGCGCCCCGCGTCCTGACAGCGCGCGCCTCTGCCCACTGCTTTGTCCAGGAAGGGAGGGGCTCAGCTTCATGTTGCAAACACTGTTCCCCAAGAGCCCGCAGGGCAGAGACCCTTGCGATCACGCCCCAGGCGTCCAGGTCGAGGAATCAGTCTCCTGCGATCAGTCACGCTGAGTCCTCCCCCACCCCAGGGGCATCCCAGGGCTGCAGGGACCCCAGGGCAGCCTTACGTTGGAGGCCAGTGAAAGCCGCTCCTTCTGCAGAGCTGCAAATGGCTGCTCTGGGCTCTCCCTGTCTGTCGGGCCACCTGGAAGGGAGAGTGGTGCCTGTGGGTCTTGCCCGCCTGCCAGGACCACGCTTGGCACCTGGTGGTCGACACCTCCACCTCTTCACCCCTGACTTTGCCGGCCAGTCCTGCACTATCTCCTGGGTCCTCACTTGGACCCCCTTGTATAGACAAGGGGACTAGGACTCAGAGACGTCACTTCCCACTCCTCGCTCCCAGTAGAGGCCCTCTGGGGCACGCAGCCAGGTCAATGCTCCCACCATTGATCTCTCCTCCGGAGCAGATGGCTCGGCCCTTCCTAGGTTGGGGCTGGGGCACTGCAGCAGTTGGGAGCAGAACATTCCAGGCTGCTGGCCCCCTCAGGATCTGCCAGGGCCTGGACGGGCCAAGGGCTCAGGACCCTTGGATGGAAGGTGCTCTTATGGGCTGGCTCCCCTAAACCGTCCATGAGAAGGACTCTGGATGTCCAGGTCTCAGCAATATTGTGGTGGGAGAGGCCTGGGCCCAGGTCTCTGCCTGGAGCTGACACCTTCCCCCTTCCTCGGCCTCTGATCTTGAAGCCTGCCTGGTTCCTGCGGGGGGGCTGCACTACCCCTGGGTTGGGGCTCCCGGCAGGTTGGGCCTGCGGCCTTCCCCTCCCAATCACTGATCACTGCCTGCTGGGTCTCACGGCCCATCCCCACAGGGGGCTCGGCGGCCTGGAGTCTGGACAGCGGCAGATGGCCCAACCCCTCACTTCTCCATTTGCTGCCTCTTCTTCCTCTTTTGCCCCCCTTTAGAAGCTGGGGTCAGGCCTGATGCTGAGGAAGTCTGGCTTCCCACGCGACCTCTGCGATGTGCCCCGCCCCCCCAACACCCAGCAGAGGGTCTTCTGGACTTCGCAACCTCCCGCCTGCCGCCCACCTTCAGAGCAGCCCCTCACCCTTGTCACCCCCTCGGGGCCACCTCCTGGCCACCCCTGCCCAGCCCTGTGTCCAGGCAGGCAGAGCGATCCTGCCCTGCCACCCTAAGCCCTCAGTGCCCCGTTCCCCTGAGATGGCCCCTCCTTCCCGTTCTGCTCACACTCCCTAGCCTGGCACACCTGGGCGCCGGCCAACTGCCTCCTCCCCTGCTCCCTGCTTCCCGCTCCAGAGGAAGCTCAAGGAGGGCAGGACGCCTCAACTCTGCATTCCTGGGGCCTAGGCTGGCCTCTGATGGAGGGATGTGTTCTCAAGGTCAGAGCTGGGTCACAGACCCTGCACTCCTGGGCCCTGGGTTTGAATGGGGGTCTCGTGTGCTCGCTAGGGGGACTGTGGGGGGTTACTTATCGCTCTGAGCCTCTGTTCCCATCTGTAAAGTGGGGTCGTGAGCGTCAGTGGCACGGGGCTAGAGCACACATCCTCAGGCACTAGCCACATGGCCGTGTGTGCCGAGGATCAGCACCGGCGCCAACGCAGGGCGACAAGGATGCGTTGGCCAGATTCCTCCACGACAGACCGCTCCCCTCCTCACCTTTGTCCAAGAGCTGTGTGTCTTCCTCCAGGTGCCGGGGGAGCGAGAGCTTCCAAAGAGAGCCAGGGCACCGGTTAGCGCACCACCTCTCCCGGGACTGGACCGAACCCGCTGTGCACCCACCCGTGCTGCTTTCCATGGCTGGAGTGTCTCAGGGCCCTCTGCTGCCCAGCCTGGCCAGAGGCTGGGCAAGAAGGCTCCTGCCCCCAGGGCGTGTCTTGCCCTGAGCACGTGGAGGCCTCGGCTGCACCAGCTCCTCTTCCCGCTGCCTGGCCGGGCGTTGGGAGGAGAGGGGACAGCCTAGCTCAGCAGAGGAGCTTCCGAGGAACGTGTATGGGGCTGTGGTCTGACAGAAGCTGCAGCTGGGCACCCTGGGTGAGGCCAGCCCTGCGCCCACCCTGGGGGACACACCTACCTCTTGGGAATTCCTGGGTGAGCTGTCTTCCAGGTCAGAGCTCTGTGGTCACATAAGAGGGATCGGTCAGCAGGCTGTGGGGCAACCGAGCCGTCCCCAGGCATGGGGTGGGGTGGGGTGTGGTGAGGGTCCCAGGCCCGCCTCTGCCCTCCAGGGAGGCCCCTCTCCAGGCCATAGCTGTCCTGGCCCCTGCCCAGAAGAACCCTCCTTCCCCCTCACCACACCCAGAGCGCCTGCCAGGCCGAGTTCTGCCACACCCGGCACCCACCACCAGGAGGGCTCGCCAGGAGGAGCCAACCTTACAGAGGAGGGAGGGGGCTCAGGAGGGTCCGGGGACCTGCCAGGGCCACCAGCAGAGCCTATTGGTGGCTCGTCCTCTGGGATCTGGGGACACGCCTGCTGCCAAGTTGCCATACTCCCGTGTCCCACAGCAGCAGGGCTGTGGCTCTGCCTGACGGACACTACAGAGGCCCCAGCCCCCAGGGAGGCCCACCAGGACGAGTGTCTCCAGCTGCTGCCGCTTGAGCCTGCCCTCTGCGGCCAGCAGCTGGCCCTCGCACTGGAACAGCTGCAGCTGCAGCTCGTCGGCCTTCTCGCCCAGCTCCCGCACCCGCTTCCGCAGCCCATCCTTCTCCTGCAGGCTCCGGGCGTGCTGCGCGTGCAGCTCCTCCCGCGTCGCAATGGCCTGTGGGGACAGCACAGGGCAGGTGCGGCCGGGCTCCTGGGCGGCCCTCGGAGGGGGAGCGCTGCAGAGCGCACCCCGGGCACTTTTGTTTCTCCCTTCGGGCTCTCACTTCCCAGCGTGGCTCCCTGACTTCTAGCAATGCTGCCAGCGGGACTTCCAACAACAAGCCGGCCAGCACTGGCCTCTTCCTCTTTTTTCTCCAGGGACGTCAACGCGTGTTTGGGGGATCGTGACCGTAAGAAAGCTCGTGAGGAGAAGTGCGGACAGTTCAGAAAATAGAGGGAAGATAAGGATCTGCACACTCGACCCTCAGAATAGTCCCTGCTGACCCCGCGTCCTTTCCCAAGTCCTCCACCCACGTGTGGATGTTCAGCACACGTTTACGCCCCCACACAGGTTTTGTAAATTTGGGGTGTGGCTTGACATCAAGAGCATGATTGTTAATGGCAGCGTAATGCTCTTTAAAACAAACGCACCACAGCTTCACATGCCCGCCCCCGGGGGACAGTGAGTGTGAGAGACGGAACACCACAGCCAGGCCACGTGTCAGGATAGGACTCGGCCCCGCACCCTGCAGCAACCAGCCCGGAGACCAGCCCGCTACCTACAGTGACCGGCCTGGGGGCAGCGGCAGCCAGCCGTCTAAAACAACCAGGAGGCTAGACCATCGGCCCCAAAGAGCCAGGTCGTCCCTGCTTCCAGCTTAGGACCAACCGGAGAAAACGCCACCACTCAGCTCGGCTGCCTGGCCCCAGCTCCCCCAGCTGCAGCCTCTCGGGCCCCACGCGGCCTGCCTTGGTGCCTAAGGCTCGGCACTCCTGTGCCTGCTCGGAGTAGGGTGGGACTCCCTGCCCCCCAGCTCCGGTGAGCAGCCCTCGCTTCCTTGGCTAGCGAGCTGCCCTCAGCTCACGGGTGCTTCTCCTGGTCTCCCGTTGTCCTCAGCTTTGAGATCAGCACCCACACTACCGGCTTTCTCTGCATTACTGTTATTCCCGAGAGAGGTTTCCAGAAGTGGGATTGCTGGGTTAAAAGGAGTCTCCGTTTTAAGGCTCCTGATAGATGGCCAGTTACCCCACCAACGTCACTAGAAGCACCAACTGTGGTTGATTAGAAAGGACCGCAGTGACGTGACAGGAAAGAGATGGGAAGTAGAGAAGTGGACGCAGTCCCACTCAGGGGCTGCCTCCCGTCCACGAGAACGCGGCCGGCCAGGGTGCCCACAGGTTTCTAAGTTAAAAAAGCTATTTGCAAAACAAGACAGAAAGCTTCCACTTTTCTAAAACAGAAACAAAATATAGATGGACATTGAGAAAAGTCCGGAAGGTCCAGCGGAAGGTGGAGTGTGGTTTTGCGGGCAGCGGGCTGGGGTGGAGGGGGTTGGGGATCAACTTCGTTACTGCTCACATTTTTAAATGAGCACGTACTGCTTCTGTCATTCAAAGACCACTTTGACAACTGCCCCTAAAGGGCTCGTTGGCAGCCCACACAAACGTGGGGACCGCCCCTCCTACTCCCTCACCCGGTGCAGGCTGTTCTTTGCCGGCGGGCGGGCGGCGAGGTGCCTACCTGGTCCCGCTCGATGGCGACCTCCTCCATCTGCTGCAGGATGGCCTCGATGCGGTCCTTGTACATCTTGGAGTCCTTCCGCAGGGCCTGGCACTGTAGCTCGAACATCTCCTTCTCCTCCGTGCACTGCGGGAGACGGCAGCTAGCCCCACTGCCCGTGGCCCCTGTTCTGGCCCCCGGTCAGGCCCGGCTGGGACGAGGGGGAGGCTGCCTGAGCCCCTAGGTCCCTGCCAGCCCTGAGCTTCCAGACCAAGGCTGGCCCTGACTGCCCTGGGGGAGCGAGGGCAGGAGTGGGTGAGAAGGCCGGCCCTACGCCTCCAGAACGGGGTGCAGTAGGGACTGAGCTGAGAGCTGAGAGGCCCCCCGGTTCCAGGCACTGCGTGGGCACAGGGCAGTCCCTCAGCCCACGCAGCCAGCCTGGCCCCAGGCGCGGTGTCCACCTGCCCCCGCTGCGTACCCGGGTGCGCAGGGCCTCGGCCTGGCGCAGGTCCTTGCGCAGGGAGAAGATGGTGCTGGCCTGCTCCTGGTGGTCCTGCAGCGCCTGCCTCCAGTCCTCCTCCAGCACCTGGATGTAGGGGCTGCTCTTCTCTGGCTTCCCGGCCTGCGGGTGGCGAAGGGGAGAGGGCAGCAGGGCAGCGACCTGGCTAGGGGAGGCCCACGGCCCACCTGCCCCGGCGCCCGCCCCGCAGGCCCCACCTGGACGGAGGCCTCCAGCTCCTGCACCCGGGCCTGCAGCAGGGCCTTCTCCTGCTGCAGCTCCCACAGCAGCTCCTGGCTGGGCCGCTGCTCCATGGCGTGCCTGAGCTTCAGCGTGTGCTTGCGCTCCACCTTGCAGTCGTCCTCCGCCTTCATGAGGCTGTGCCGGAGCCGGTCGATCTGCGGGACAACCCCGTCAGCGCGGGGGCCTCACCCACTGCCTGGCCCTCGACGCCTGCCAGGCCCTCTCTGCAGGACGGAGGCTCGGGGCCACGCGACTCGCCCAGGACACCGCCACGGGCCCACCCCCGCGCCCCGTGGACCGGAGGGCACCTCCAGCTGCAGGTCGCGGTTGCGCATGAGCGCGGCGCCCTTCTCCTCGCTCTGGCGGGCCAGGCGCAGGGCCAGGTCGTAGTTCTCCTCCTTGCAGCGCTTGAGCTCCCGGCCACCGGCCTCACACTCCTCCTTGAGACGCTGCACGCGCTCCTGGTGCTTGCGCAGCAGGCTGTCCTTCACCCGCAGCTCCTTGATGAAGTCGTCCTTGGAGCTCAGCAGCGCCGTCAGGTCCTGCACCTTCTTCTGCAGCTTCATCACCTCGCTCATCAGCAGCTGCGTCAGGCCCGACTCCCCGGACGCGTCTGTAGACGGGGCCAGCGTCAGACTGTCGCCTGTCCCCCACGGCCACCCTGCCCCATCGCCTCCCAGGGCCCTGCACTTGAGGAGCAGCAACGCGTGGCTCCAGGGAATGCGGAGCCCGGCCAAGGGGTCAAGTCCAAGTGGCTGCTGCTTCTCGTCGAGGAAATGGACTAAGATGCTCACTCACCTCCCCGGCCCCTGTCCCGATGCCCGTCCAGGACAGGGGACAGCCATGGCCAGGCACCTGTTTCCCTTTGTCTGATCTTATCATCTTGATTGAGAGGCAAGAGGACGCGACTCCGGGGCCAGGAGAGCATTGCTTCGCCATTCCTGGGAGTGGCAGGCCCCGCCCTCTCAGGGGCAGTGTCTGTGGCCCAGGGCAGGGACAGGGGCTTTGCAGGTGGGATGGTCTTCTGGGCAGGAGGGGCTCCGATCTGTGAGTCAGCCTGTGCACCTGCACACGCCTCCGACCTGCTGCCCCCCCAGAGGTCTGGTCCCCCTTTTCTTGGGCCGCTGCTCCCTCCGTGAGTGTTCGGAGAGCGGGACGGGAGCGATGACCAGCCCCGCCCCCACGCCGGCACCCTGCCCACGAGCAGCTCACTCACTTTCCTTGATCCCAATTTACCCGGTCGGGAGACCAGATGGGGAGGTGCCTGCTGCCCTGTCCCCATGCCACTGCCCTCCCAACATGTCTGGCTCTGCCCCATGCCGACCCCACCCCTCCATCCTGGCCCTGTGCCCCCCACGTCCCCCACCCCCATGCCCGGTGTCCCGTTCCTCACCGATGATCATGGAGAAGACGCGGGTGGGCTCCTTGCCCGTGACCTTCTTGTAGAGCTGGGGGTAGTAGAGCTCCAGGCTCTCGAGGAAGGCCACGTAGCCCTTGTGGCCGGTCCGCTGCAGGATGTCCAGGAGCACGCCTGCCACCCAGAGAGGCCTGGCTGGCGCCCGGGCCTCAGTGTCCCGGGACGTGCATGGGTGCTCTGGGCCAGGGGACAAAGCTGTGCGGCCCCCGCCAGGTCTGGCCGCAGCCAAATGGGTCTGGGACGTGGACAGCCGCTGCAGGCCGGGGTCCAAGTGCCACCCGCCACCCCTTGGCTCTCCCAGGGGCCTCAGCAGTGCATGGAAGCACCACGGCCCCCGGCAAACAGGACAGGTGCAGGGGTGCCGGGGGTTTCGTCCACGTGCTTGCAGTTGGGGTTGGGGTGCACTCCGTGGGGCTGCATGGGGCTTGGCCTCCTGGGGACAAGGGTAGGGGACAAAGCCCACGGCGGCCTCTGGGCAGGCTCCTAGCCAGCTCGGGGGCGGGGCAGCACTGACCCACTTTGCGCTTGCGGATGACCAGGTTGGGGTCGCTGAGCACCTGCTCCTCATCGTCGGGGTTCAGGACCTTGCACTGCCTCAGGTAGGGCGTGATGCGCGAGGGGTCGATGACGGAGATGAGCTTCACCCGGAAGCCCTCCAGGGCGCTCCAGCACTCCTCCTCGTTCTCATAGTCCGACATGGCAGGGTTGGCCAGAGTCGGGGAGGGCGGCTGGGAGGGACACCACTTGCTGAGCTGTCAGCTGAGCTAGGCCCCAGGCCCGCCACCGAGGAGCCCAGCCAGGAACTCAGCCCAGGGGTGTTTGGGAGAGAGGTGTGCTGCCTCAGGCCCTGCCCTCCCATCTCGGCGACCTAGAGAGGGAAGCAGCAGCCGCGCAGGGACCCTGCTGCCCATCTGCTCACTGGGTGGCCCTCGGCCTCACCTGGGCCCTGCTCCCGCCCTTTGGGCCACCCTGGGCTTTCTCTCTCCCGAGTCACCCTGGTGAGTATGGGGGAAGGTGTGGAGATGCTCCAGGGGCAGGAACATCCCCTGCACCATGGCCCTCCTCTGGCCTCTGCCCGCCCCCGGAGACCCCCAAGTGTCGTGGGGCTGGCAGGGATGGCCACCTCCCACCTGTGGGGCAGGAGGAGCCATTTGTGCTGCTGCCACCCGCTGGCACGACCTCCCTGGCTGGCCAGTGCCCAGGCTGGGGCGAGAGGCACGAGGCAAGTGACCTCCCACCTGCGCAGTGCTGGACCATGCTGTGTGGGGCTTCCTCATTTCCCAACTTAGCGCCTGCTCAGGTCCCCGCCCCAGCCCCTCCTCTCTTTCCGTGGCCGGCTGGTGGTGCAACAGCCTCCCAGCAGCTGCCCGGAGCTGGCCTGCTCCGAGTCAGGCTCAGCGACACTGTGCCTTTCGGGAAGGGTGACTGACCGCCCACAGGAGGGCCAGGGCCTGGGCACTCGGGGAAGGCCTGGCTGTGTCGCCCACGGCCAGCCTGGAATGCTGCTTGGGCGCCTCCTCCGGGCTCTCAGGTCCTGGGACCCAGTCGTCTCTGGCTCCTCTCCCACCTCTCAGATGAGGCCTGCTCTTGGTCACACTCTGGGGGACTGGCACGCTGGCCTTCTGACGAGGGGACCATCTACATTGGGACCAGCCACTGCTGCTGCCTTCCACCAGCAGGCGAGAAATCGCTCTCTCCGGGGCTGGGCCAAGCCAGGTGGTCGTGCCTCCTCTGGGTGGTGGGGACGGAGACCCTGACCCGGCCACCTCAGACAGAGCCTTCAGCTGTGTTGGAAACTCTGGTTTCTAGCCCACAGGAGCTAGACCACATCCTAGAGATGTGGGTGACAGCAGGCCTGGTCTCTGGAGGAGGTCCTCCCACTTCCCGCAGAGCTTGGCCTTCCCATCCAGCCCAGCGACAGACAAGGTGTGGAATAAAGATACCAGCAACCCGGTGGACGGTCCTGGGAACTTTCGGCCCGTTCCCGCCTTTCTAGCCTAAAAGCCACGGGTCCCACGTCTGATGCCCCGCTGCTAATTCCACTGAGATTAACAAGCAGGTCTCAGTGGCCGTGAAGAGGGACAGGGCAGAAGAGTTGAGGCCACTGGGTACCCTTCTGGGGTATTTGCTCCAGGACCTGGCTTCCTGCCCCAGCAGCCCTGAGCAGAGAGCCACGGCACCTTCCCAATCACCTTTCAGAAAAGGGCCCCAGACCAGCCTACCTCAGGGTCCTCGAGGGGGCACCCACACAGCTGGACGCTGGTCAGCCTGGGCCACCCCGATCAATGAGCAACAGGAGGTGCTGCTGGCAGCCAGGGGCCTGAGGGAGGGTGGAGCCCAGAGGGACGCCTGTGCACTTCCTGATGGTTCTGGGCAACTCCACAGAGGCCCAGCCGGTCCTCCCGCAGGGGGACAGTCCCTGGTGGCTGTCTTCTGATTCGCCCAGCCAGGGCGGCCCAGGAGGCGGGGCAGAGGGAAGTGGAAGTCGTCTGCTCTCAGAGGAAAGCTGCTGGGAGCCCTCCCAGCCTGCCTGGCGGCCAAGGTCCCGGGCCTGCCCCGGGGGCCCAGCCCTGGCACCCTGCACAGTGGAAGTGCGGGCGAAGGCCCAGCCAGGGGCTGGGTGTGGCCGATCCACCATCCAGTCTGCTTTGGCCCAGACGCCTAAGGACTGCAGTGTGGTGTCCAAAAAGGGCATGGGGCTGGGGAGGCCCCTGCCACCTGCAAGAGGCCACAGGCCCCGGCCACATTTGCCTCACTTGGCCGCCAGCCCACTGCAGCTAGCACATCCTCCTTCCTTCCTGGGAGCATCCCCACTCTGCAGCCCTCTCCACCAGGACACGTGGGACAGTGACAGCAGGCTCCCGGGACTCCGAGGCCACTGCCTGCGGTCCCACAAGCCGGTGTCAGAATGGCAGTTGACTGCAGGACAAGGCTCCGGCCCATGGTCATGGCAGCAGTCCTCCGTGGACTACGTGGCCTCTCCCTGATGAGGTCGGGGAACCCCCAGCCCCTGCCTCGCCGGTGTAGCCGTAGCAGTTGAGCCGAGTTGCCACCTGCCCTGCTGGATGAGGCAACAGCTCCGGGAAGGAGCTGCAGCTGGACGGGCGGGCAGGGCCTGCCGGTGCCCTGGCTCCGCCTTCCGAGGCAGCTGCCTCTCGCCTAACCGGCTCCCTTCCTGTCGGGCTCGGTCCTCAGTCCCTGGGCTTTCCTCTGCCCCTGGCCCACAGCGGTCACCTGGTCGGCCGAAACCTCAGGAGTCCTGGCACAACCAGGCAGGGTAAGTCGTGGAGGCGGCCTGGCGGCCTGGCCTTCCTGCAGGCTCCGAGAAGACAGAGGCCCAATGTCACCCTCTAGCAGGGAGCAGTCCCGAGGACCCTGGGGGGGCCGCGTTCTGGGGGCTCATGCCCCGGGCTAGGTGAGCAGGGAGGGGCCCGGGCTGCAGCTCTGCTCTCACGTGATGGATCGGCCACTGCTGGGCCCCCGACAACCCAACACTTCCCCGCTCGGTAAACAAGGCCGATCAAGGTGTCTTCCTCATGGCGTGTGTTTAAGAATTAGATAAAAACGTGTGTTCTCAGATCACATCAGAATTAAGCTAGAAATCAGTAACAGAAAGATATCTGGAAGATCCCTTAATATTTGGACGTTAAATAACAAACATCGCAATAACCCGTTACCAGCAGGGTCACCACAGTGGACGGGTGTCAGCAGAGCTTCCCGACTAGATAGACTAGGACGAAGGGCCTGGCCACCCACGTAGAAACATCAGAAACCCTGTGCATAGCAGCGGAGCATTGTCTGACGTGGCAGAAGGGGAGAGGATGGCGCAGAAAGACAGGGCAGGCTTCCCTCTGCTGTCCACGGGGTCTAGGAGCCGGAATCCACTCCACGGCACTGACAAAATAACCCATCAGTCAGAGGAAGTCACAAGGAAAACTAGAAATTAGTTAACCAAGTACTGGGCACAAAGCAAAAACCAAGACCACGCACACAGGAGACTGAGTCAGCCCATGGCAGGCGTGACCTGTGACGTCTGGGTGGGGAGAGGGGACGGGCGGCCCCGGTGACTGCTGTTGAGGCCAGGCCAGGACATGTGCTGGGCACACTTGCTCTATTTCTGTATGTTGGGAACTTTCCATAATAAGTGAAACCAAGTGGAGCAGGAAGCAAGGAGAATGAAGCCCCGGGAGCCGAGTGCCTCGATGGCTGTAACGGAAACTTGAGGCCTAGTCCTTGAGGTGGGAGCGCTGAGGGTGCTGGACTTGGTCTCAAGCCAAAGGAACGCCGTGCAGAGGCAGGCGGTGCTGGCCTGGAGCCGCCCAGCAGGGCCACTGCTACGATGGGGCACCCGGCTGTGCTGGCTCCAGGGACCCACCTGGGTGGGCCTGTGTGGTCTGCACAGCAGAGGAAGTAGGCCCACCCTTGTCCCTGCAGGGGCACCAAGAGGGCCGGCAGCCGCCTGGGAGGGCACTGGGCTGCCTTCTGCTGGAGCGTGACCCTCAGCCCAAAGGCCAGAGCCACAGCTACCGCAAACAGGGCAAACCTCTGCTTCTCTGTCTCCTCCCCCATACCCCCAGAAAGGCCCGATCCCTCTGCATTCCGCCCAGTGTCCCAGGACAAGACCACAAGCTTGCTTTTTGACTAAAAAGTAGGCTGTTTATTTCTTCAGATATTTCGATTTGCACTTGGGGACCAGCGAGCCCCTGTGACGTCGCAGTCACTGCTGGCAGAGCCGTCCCCAACCTCTGGCTGCTCTCCCCTCTGGGGTCAGTGGCGGGCTCGCCAGGGCGGGTGGGTTTGCCGGGTCCAGCGCGGGTCCCACCTCCTGTCAGCAGCAGCCAGCGGTGTCTGGGCCCAGGGCCGTCCTGGAACACAAGAACACCCCAATGGTGGGGTGCCCTGGCCCCAGCCAGACCCCATGGATGGTGCTGTAGAGGGACAAGCACCAAAGGTGGCACTGCCCTGTAGGGAGTGGGGCAGAGCGAGGTCCTGCTGCCGTCCAGCTGTGGGCTGCAGAAGGGGGCGAGCTGAGGTCAGGCTCTGGAACCTGAGGGGGGCCGCATACGGGACCATCTTGACATCCCTTTGTGGTGCCCCACCTCTCCAGAGCCCCTGCTCCCTCCACCCACTCCAAGACCCAGACCCTCTCATGGCACAGCCCACACTGCTCAGAGCCAGCTCCGGCCTCTGGACACCTGCTGGCCGGGACACCCTCCCCGACTTGGTCTCAGCTTCATGAACTCATCAGTTTGTGCTGAGGCCTCCTTGGTGCCTGCTGTCTGGGCACGGGGACCCAGCCACAGGAAGCCCAGTGCCTGCCCTTGTGAGCTCACGTTCACAGGAAAGACAACGGACAAATAGGAGAGACCACGTCAGACGTCAAGGAGGACAGATGGACACTGGGACCGTGGCGCCGCCTCAGGAGAGCCGTCAGGGAGGGCATCTCTGAGGAGCTGACTACCGAGCAGAGACCCGAATGGAAGGAGGAACAGGCCTTACAGACACACAGGGAAAAGAACGCCAGACAGAGGGGACAGCCATGCAAAGGCCCTGTGGCACATGTGGGCCAGCAGGAAGGAAGTGCAGAGGCTGGGGTGTGGAGCCCAGCAGGCGAAGGCAGAGCGAGGGGAAGGGCCTCCATGAAGCTGGGCTGGCCCCCCAAGGCCCATGGATGCCTACATCCCGTCCCGCCCAACACCATCACATCTGACCTGAGCTCCTGAGGGCAGGGCTGTGTCACTCAGCCCCTGGGGTGCCCGGCCTGCATTTGGAAAGCAGCGGGCTCCCAGGCTGAGGGGGCCCGGCCCGTGTGCCCAGTGCAGAGCGCAGGGACAGGCCCCGTCTCTTCCCAGGGCTCCCACCTCCCCCACACTCACCCTGCTGCTCATACCAGCCTCCTCCGCTTCCGGACGTGCCGGGTGTGCCGGGTTCTGAGCACATCGAGGTCGTCAGAACTGTCCAGGAAGGAGGGGACAGAGCCCTCGCCAAGCTCTGCAGTTCCCTGGCACAAAATCCACACAGAAGGGAACAAGAGTGAGCCTCCAGCCAGCACAGACAGGGATAAGGTGGCAGCGAGGAGCAGCGAGCAGGCCACAGGGCCCTGCAGATGCCACGGCCGAGCACTAGGGACCGGCAGCTCCTCAGGCTTGTCCTTCCAGAGGCGAGCTGAGGCCTCGGCAGTGAGAGCCATGCCAGGCTGGGCCTGGGGGCACTGCCACATACAGGGGCCACGACAGGCAAGGAAAGGGGGATTATGGCTCTTCCTGAGGCCACACACGGGTTCTGGCTTCCTGCTGACCCCTCCCTCACTTGAGGGCTCCAACCCCCTCAGAGCCAGCCTCCTGTGTCACGGTTCCCCCAGCTGGGCCAGCAGAGCAGCGACCGACAACATGGGAGGGCGGTGCTGGAGAGGCTGCACACGTGGTGGGGCACAGGCAGCCTCTTCCCCTCGGTATCTGGGGTCCAGCAGTGTTTCTACTTGGCCGCAGCCCTGGGAGTCTGAGGGCAGTGCCCCTGGGAAGGGAGATGGACATTCCCCCACAGCCCAGGCTGGATGAGCCTGCAGGGAGGGTGGCACAGCCACCAGCCACCACCCCTGCCTCCCTGCCATCCTGATTCGACCGCTCCAGCAGCCACGGCTACCCCAGGTGGGAAGGTGAGGGACTGCTTCTGGGGGGTTCCCTGGGCCATGTGCTCCCAACACCACCTGCAAGGCACCTTGACCACTTCCCTGACTCGGTACAGAACGCCTGTGGTGGCACAGCTCTCCTGCTTGGCCCCACGCAACGGGGAGAGGCGGCCTTGCTGGGGGCTCCCCGGGCGCACGCAGCCAGAGGCTGCAGGGAACAACTCCTGCACGTGTCTATATTGGGTTCTTGTCAGGAAATAAGGAAAACGGTTTTGCCTCCACAGCGCGGAATACTCTCCTGATGTGAAGGGTACTGGAGCTGACACCCGGAGGGGTCTTAGTGTCCACAGAGAAGCAGGTGCAGGTGCAGGGCCACTCTCTGTGGAGCTAATGGCCCACCACAGGAGGGAGGGTGCGTGTGTGTGCACGTACGAGGGGGGCACGGAGCCTGAGATCAGCTCCCTCAGACACGCCTGCAGGGCTGGGTGGCAGCTCTGGGAGGGCTGAGGGGCTCCCACGTCAGCCATGAGGCTCCTTCCTCCCTATATTCCACACTGGCCGAAGGGACAGGTGACTTGTGCACACAGAATTGACACGTGACCGGGCTGGCTTGGAGCCAGTTTCTTCCTCCTCACACACCAGCCAGCCAACTCTCCTGGCCACAACTTCCACCTGCTCCCGTCCCCGGTCCCCATTCCCACTGCTCTGGGCAGGCCAGATACCCACAGGCGGTCAAGGGCACCACAGATGGCTGCAGGGAAGTGGGCGGGGGCTCCGCACACATGGCCACCTACCTGAATGGGGGCTGTGGCCGCTGGTTCCGCCTGGGGACTGCTGACTGAGCAGCCCCGCTGCCTGCCACCATCAGTGAACTCCAGCTCCCCGAGGCTGTCATCCTCACTTGCAGAGTCGGCCCTCATGGTGGCCGACAGGGTGGTGGGGACACCGTGGGGGGGCAGGGTGGCCAGCAGTGCAGGGAGGGCAAAGGCTGCCAGGAACCGCGCCCTCAGCAGCAGGTAGGCTGGATTGTCCTGGAACCGCCTCCGCACCTGCCCCAGCGAGGCCTGCAGGGCTCCGGCCGCCCCGCCGGGCACAAGGGAGGCGGCTCTGTGTTCCAAGGCCTTCTTGTGGAGCAGGAGGCCAGACAGTGCCCGCAGGCTGCACAAGGCGGGGGGCTGGTAGGGCAGCCTGCTCCCCAGGGCGGGCACACACACCCCTCGCTGCCCCCTCAGCCACTCCCGCACTGCTGCCTCACTCTCCTGGGAGAGAAGGCCCAGGTCCAGGGCACCCTTCTCAGGCCCAGACCGGGGTGCGGGCAGCCTCTCCAGGGCCAGAGGCCCCCTGGGCTCCCCTGGCTCTGAGGGAGACCCCAGTGTGCCCCCTGGGCCAGGCCCACTTTGTGGAGGCAGCTGGCTGGATTGGGGAGGCTCTGCTTCAGGGTGGTCAGCCAGGAGCGTGGCCTGGGAGGATGTCCTGGGAGTGGCTGTCTCCCCAGCCACTTGGGCCTCTTCAGGGGAGGAGAGTCCCCCAGGAGCACGGGCTGTGTCGCTGTCCACTTCTGCCGGGCTTTGGGATGAGGGGGGCGTGGGAAGGGTGGAGAAGTCTGTCTTGGCGGGAGGGTCTAACTCTGTGTCCACGTTGGCTGGGGGCTGCCAAGGGTGGCTCAGCCCAGGGAGCCTGGGACCCTGGCCTGCCTGTGTCTCAGTCAGAGAGGGCAGTGGAGTCACTGACAGCCCTTTGGGGCCAGGGATCCCTGCTGGCCTGGGAAGGCTCACCACAGTTGGCACAGGCACAGGGAGCAGCCCCTGGGCTGTGAGCACCCAGGTGACGGGCAGAGGGCTGCTGACTGACACCTGTGGCCCACCCCTGCATGTGCCCAGAGCAGGCATCAGGCTGAGGGGCTGGACAGGCAGCTGAGCAGGGCTGGGGGCTGCAGGGAGAAAGGGGAGAGCCTCGGGCAGGCCCTGCCTCCGGGACGTGGCGGGGGCCTGAGACTGTCCAAGACTGCTCAGAGGGCAGCCCCCAGGGACCTGGGCGGAACCCAGAGCTGGGGCCCCGGAGGTAGCAGAGGCAGCAGGGGTAGCCAGGGCCTTCACAGCCAGGCCCAAAGCCTGCAGCGTGGGGGGTCTCTCGACCTTGGCTGAGGCCCAGGAGCCTGAAGTACTTGGACTGGCTGCTGCAGGGGCCCCAGGCCCACAGGTTGCTACATTTGAGATAATCGGACCTGAGGCTGTGAGGCCTTTGGGGGCCAGCGGTAGAGGGAGCTTGAGGGTCACAGGTGAGGAACCTAGCAGCGGGGGTGGGACAACCACGGGGCCCTGGGCAGCCGTCCTGGCTCGGGCCTCCCGCAGCCGCTTCTCCCGAAGCAGCTCGGACACAGTCTTGGGCTTGGGCCGGGGCCCGCAGGGAGCTGGCAGAGGTGCCTGTGGCGTGGACTCGGTGCGGCAGGCCTGCAGCCCCCCTCTTCCTCTGTGGCTGGTGCTCCTCTTGGCAGGTTCTCGGGCTGGCACGTTCTGGAAGAGGCAGCCTGCAGGCAGAACAGAACAGCGCTGATGACCTCTAAGCAACCGGCCAGAAACAAGTCTCGCCCTGTGCCCCGGACAGAGGGCTCTCGAGGTGCTGGGAGTGCAGAAGCAGGAGTCTGGCCTCCGGGCCAAGAGGGCTCATAAGTCTGGCTGCGTGTTCACAGACCGCTCCACGCGCTGCCATGGCCTGGGCAGCACCAGGCCCGTCGAGTACTGGCACCATGAGGAAGCCCAGCCCATGCCTGCCCCGCACCTTGGCCCTACATCTTGAACCTTGTCACAACAACGACTGTTGGGCACCACTGCTCTCCCCTCCTTGCATCCTCTCAGGACCCCAGACCCTCGCCTGAGCCTGCTGGTGCGGGGAGAGGCCCCTGCTCAATGCCCAGGGCTTGAGGGAGGCCCCCTGCCTCCCAGGTCTGTGCTGGCGAAGCCCAGGGCTGACCTGCTGTGCAAGGCGGGCGGGAGTGGGGCTACCCCAGCAGCTCACGACAGCCAGACTCTCGTCCCTGCCATGGGATTTCAACAAGACTCGTCACCAGGGGCCACGGACGCTGCCCATGACAAGTTTGCCCCTTTCCCCACTAGATGGCAAAGGCCAAGCCAGAGAGAGAGACAGACAGGTGGTACCTGGGGTGTTCTGGGCGCTCGAGGGCACCTGGAAAAGAAGGGAGGGAGAGATGGCACCTCAGGGAGGTCCCCGGGGGGAGATACCCAGGGGCCTGCAACCACTTCTCCACCCCCAGCAAGACTGTCACTTGCCTCTTGCCTGCAGAAGGGACAAGGCTCCAAGTGCCAGGGCCCGCCTCCCTCCTGACACAGCCTTGCCTAGAGCCCCCTGGGACAGCCCAGGGGCTCAGGGCCATATGGGATTTGCAGGGAGAGGTGGGGGCCTGGCTGGTCAAGCAGGAGGGCACACAGGCTCTACAGCCTGGCTGGGCTCCACAGGGCTGTACGTAGTCCTCAAACTACAGCACCGTTTTGTCGTTTCCTCCAGCAGTGGCTGGGCTCAGGGACATGGCCTCTCGCTGACGGACCCCAAGCGCCTGGCCCCCACACGAGGCACCTCACCAGCAGGCCTGTGCCCAGAGCAGCAGGCGCCCAAGGTCCCCCCGGCCTCTGCCCAGGGGTGGCATGGGGTGTGGGGGGAGAAGCACACGTGGGCGGCCGGGGGTGCGAGTGCTGGTGCAGGCCCTGTAAGCCCTGGACTTGTGAAGCCCCTCAGGCCTCCAGGCCCTCGCTGAGAGGGGCCCACACCTCCCAGGATGGCTGCTGGGAGGAAGGGGCTACCTCATAGCCAGGAGCCAGGAGTGCACAGGGGCTGCTCTCAGGGGCTGACCTCAGCCTCTGTGGGGCCCGGGTACGCCTCCTGTCTCTGGAAGAGCTGGTGTCACCTCACCCACTAGCTGGACAAATGTCACTGACCCCCAGCACTGCTGCCTGCTGGGCAGAAGGGAGGAGCGGAAGCCAGATGAGCACACACCTGCTGCTCACCCTCACCTCTCACCTGCAGAAGCCGCACCGGCGGGTCCCAAGCGCCAGCCTGGAGCAGGGCAGGTGGCTGGGCCTTCCTCTCTCGAACGACCTCCATGCATCCAGCAGTGTCGATCTGGAACAGCTGAGGGACACGTGTGATACACGACAGGTGTCAGCAGGCCCACCGCCCCAGAGGACCGAGGCAATGCAAGTGTCTGCAGTGGGACCTGGGCCAGCTGCTCTCCCGGAGCAGACCCAAAGCCCCAGAGGAAGTGGCCGGAGCGTGGTGCAGCCCTTTGAGGCCGTGAGTGCTGCGCTCCCGCCCCAGCCTGGACCCAGGTTCCCCCTGCCCTCTAACTGAGATGCTCGAGGACACCCCGCACAGTGCTCCCACTGTGACCCCGGCTTCTCTTCCCCTCAACTTCCACTGACACTCTGGGGCTCCTGGCGCCCCACCCTTCCCCAAACAGGCTCTAACCGACAAAGGCAGGGACGCTGCCCTGCGGCTGCCCCCTCCACAACAACGTGCCCTCGAAGAGTCGTGAGCCACGGAAAGACCGTTTTCAAGGACCCCCAACTTTAGAAAGCCAGACTTTAAGAAGCAAACTTCAAAACTTCCCCAAAAAAACAAAGTACAAGAGAAGAAAACAACATGGGGCGGCTCACCTGAAGGAAGAGGGTGAACACCGGGGTGCTGGCCAGGTGGGCCTCCTGCAGCTGCTCCCTCACGCTGTCGGCTGAGGGGACAGGCACATGTGCAAGATGGCTCCAGCTACCAACGGCACTCTCCCCTCGGGCCGTGAGACTGGACACCAGTGAGAGGGCCCCACGGAGCCCTCCCACTTCCACCCTCCCTGACAGGGCAGGGAGACCGCCACGTGCCTGCAGGTCACCCCCTGCCGCCCGCCCTCTCCCCTGCCCGTGGGCCCCAGAGGCGCCAGAGCAGCCCCAGAAGCAGCACCTCGAGTGTGGACCATGGCAGGCCTCCGGGAGCTGCAGGGCAGGACGATGTCGCCCACCCACGCGCTCACAGCCATCAGAAGCTGGCGCTCAAGGAGCCTCCTCTGCAGGGCGTGTCCCCGGCGCCGCTGCCTGCTCCCAACGGAATCGTGCCATAGCTGACGCAGATGGGGCCCGGCCACACCACTGCCACCGGGGCTGGCCTCCAGGGGTGCGCCGAGCAGGCGCGGCTGCCTCAGCTTCTTCTGTGGAGGAAAAAGGCACCTGGGCCTCCTGGCCACGCTCAGCTCTGGGGCTGCCCATGCCCCGCCCTTGCTGGCCTCCCCTCCTTCCGGGTACTGGAGAGAAGGAGCGGGGGTGGGGTGAGGGGTTGTGGAGTCAGGGCCATCGAGGTGGTGAGTGTGCATACACACACACACGGCCTGGGCTGTTGCGCGTGGCCTCAGGCAGGCCTTACCAGTGTCCGGCACCGGGTGGCTGTGTTGGTCCTGAGCACCCGCAACACGGTCTCCAGGGGCACCTTCAGCAGACGCTTCCCGCCCTGACAAAAAGCTGCCGTGAGGTGGACAGGCATGCACACCTCCTTGCCCAGACTCCAAAGTGCACCGCATCAGCACCCCAGGTTGGTGGGAGATGCTCTCTGAAGCGTGGCTTGCCTCAGGCAAGGCTTCCCCCAGAGGAGGGTGGCAGGTCCCTAAGGCCTGGCTCCAAGACGCCTGCCTGGCTTTGCTGCATCCAGGACTAACAGAGGGTCCACACTCCCCGCAGCCAGCTCCCTGAGCTCATAGTACCAAACACTTGAGATAAATCTGATGGGCAGCAACCTCTGGATTCGGGGCTTAGGACCCTGTAGTTATATCTTCAGGGAGAGACAAGCCCGGGCAGCACGGGAGCTGTGGGCGTGCGCTCTGCCAGCTATCCGGACAGTCCACTGTCCCCTTGGGTGTCAGATGGGACCTCCAATCTCTCCCATGATGGACCAGCTGTTCAATTCAGACTGCCACTCGGACGCAGCCAGAGCTGTTCCTGTGCCCGGGGCCCCAACACCCCCAAAACCACCCTGGACAGGCACACACGTGTGTGCAGCCAAGCTGGCCCCGAGCAGGGCCACAGCGGGGCTCCACAGGGGACCTCCTGACTTGTGTAGGCCGGGAGGAAATGGCTCCTCCTTGCTGTCCCCACCACCCTCCCCCCAGCTCAGGGGTGAGACAGTTCAGAAATGGCTCCAAGTCCAAGTGCCCCCTCAGCAGTGCTCCCACGTGGCTTTAAAAGCAAACAAATTGAGGGAAATGGAGTATGCCGACCTCGATGAGGAAGGCTGCTGCACTGAGCACCAGTCCCCTGAAATGGGCCTAAAACAAACACTCTAGTGAGCAAGGAGGGGGTGTTTTCTCCCCATGCCCAGAAACATGGCTGGCACGAGACCAGGCTAGCCCACTGTCTTTGAGTGCCAGCTTCAGTGACCCTCGATCAGGAGAGCATCCACTCCCCTGCCCCGATCTGGAGGTCCACCGGGCCTGTGGCCTACCTCGTCTGCTGGCCCCTCTGAGCTCTTGGGGTGAGTGTCTGCTGAGCATGGGTACTCAACGCCTGTCAGGCTGGCACTGTGGGTTCCGGAGGGGGCCTGCGCCTGGCCTGCCTCCTCTGTGGTGCAAGCTTCCCTGCCGCCACCTTGGGCCATATCGGAGCCCTTGGGAGGGCTGGGGGAGGCAGCAGAGTGTCCTGGCCAGCTCCCTGCCGCTCGTCCCCACAGTGCGCTCGTGCTCTGCCTGGCCGGAACCCACAAGTCCATGTCTGGCACAGTGTGCTGTGCTGACAGCAGCGCCTGGCTACTCTCCTGGGCTTCCTCCGGCTCTGGCTCTGAGTCCTCGCTGCTCTCGCTGCTGCTGCTGACCCCACTGCTGGAGTCTCCACTGCTGCTGCCCCCACTGCTGGAGTCCCCGCTGCTGGAGCTCCACCGCACGCTGCGAAGGGGCCGCCGCCTCCTCCTCCCCCGACTCTGCTTCTTCTGTGGAAGGAAAGGCTGCTTGGAGGCTTTGGCTCCCTGGGCCTACTGCCGAGAACAGGCAGGCAGGACAGCCCCTTGGGGAGGGGCCCCCCGCAGGCACACCCCAGGGGCCCGAGGGGAACTTGGACACGCTGTGTTCGGAACATGCCCTCCCGACTGCTCTGAGGCAAGAGCGGCTGCTGACCAGGCCAGATCTCTCTCTGCCCTGGGCCTCCAGGAAGCAGAGATGCCAGGGCCAGAAACCAGACGTCCCTCCCTCCCTACCCCTGCGCTCCCCCAACCTGCCCAGTGGTGACGCTAACCCAGGTGAGGGGCCTTCTGACCGACTTGGGTCAAGCCTCACCCTGACCATGACTTTCCACTTGCTTAGACACTGGGAGCCTGTCCGATGGGGAAGTTCAGAAGCAATTTTTGCCCAGTGACCTACAAAAGCAAAACAACATGGAAGTTGCTTCATTACAAATAGTTTATAAAGATGTAAGTTTATCAACTTGGAATAAATGGCTCTTCTCTACGATGCGCTTGTCTCTCCTCCAAAGCCTTGCATCGTGTCCACCAGAACGGGGCTTGCTGCCCCCGCCCACACTGCCCCCCACAGCTGAGGAGCCCGTGGAGAAGCTGGCATCTGATTCTCAATGGATTATCAGCCCCTTAGGAAAGTTCTAGCAAATGTACAACCAAGAGAGAAAAAATCAACCACATTTATGTAAAAATGGCCCTTGCATATCTGCTGTGCCCAGGCTTCTAAACCAGACATTTCAAATTATTTGGTGTTTTCTTCTAGACAGTGATGGTGGCAGGGAACTGGAGCGCTGCTTTCACAGGGCAGTCTGACTATGTGACAGAAGCTTAGGATTCTGCATACCCTTGAACCTGGCCATGCCACAGCTAGGATTTTTTTTAAGGAGGTATTACAAATATGAGCAAAAATTTAGCCATTGAACCCTCAGCTCATTCCAGCCCTGCAGCAACAACTGAGACACAAATGTCCATCAACAGAAAATGAGTGAATAACCTCTGCACTACACTATTGAGGGAGATAGAACGTGGGTATGGAAAATAAGGGCAGAACATAGAAATGTGCAGATACACAAAAATATCCCTAACAGAGCATAATCACACATCATAAAGTAAAAAATAGCGGGCTCAATTAAATTACGTTTTAAAAAAGATCCAATTTAAAAAAGCTGCCTCTCCCTGGAGAAGCAACCTGCCGCGAGAAGGCGTGGGCAGGGGCACAACAGCTGCTGGCCGTCCTCTCCAGGACATCAGAGTAGTCACGTTACTCGCCTTCTTTTTCTACATCTCCATGTTTACATTTTCTAGAATGAACGTGAACTGGTTTGAAAAATGGAAAAACCACTGCCATCTACTGAGATGATGAAAAACAGGGCAGGACAGTTGATGACCAGGGAGCCAGCTGGGATCCAGCAGACCGAGCCCCCCTGAACTCAAAGCTACCATAAACCCAAGGAGAGCCAAAGCCTCGACAAGAACTTACCAACACCATACTTCTCTATCAATTCCATTAACTTTTCCTCTTCTTTTGAATTCCAGCGTCCCTTTTTCAAGCTGAAATGTAGCCTTCTGAGGTATCTGAAAGTGACATGAAAACAAACGGACATTTTAGATGCTAAGCTGTCCTCCTGCTGCTTCCTGGCCTTTGCGATGGTTTCTGAGACAGGACGCCAAAAGCACAGGCAACAAAAGAAAAATACAGATAAACTAGACTTCATCAAAATCAAAAACTTTTGTGCTTCAAAGGTCACCACCAAGGAAGTGGAAAGACAGCCCACAGATGGGAGAAAATAAATCATGTACCTGATAAGAGACCTGTACCTGGAATATATAAAGAACTCTCCCAAGTCACCAATACAAAGACAAATCACTCAATTTTAAAAATGGGCAAAGAGGGGCCGGCCCGGTGGCGCCAGTGGTTAAGAGCGCGCGCTCCACTGCAGCAGCCCGGGGTTCGCCGGTCCGGATCCCGGGCACTAACCGACGCACCACTTGTCAGGCCAGGCTGTGGCGGCCTCCCATATAAAGTGGAGGAAGATGGGCATGAATGTTAGCCCAGGGCCAGTCTTCCTCAGTAAAAAGAGGATTGGCATATGTTAGCTCAGGGCCGATCTTCCTCACAAAAAATAAATAAATAAATAAATAAAAATGGGCAAAGGACACAAATAGACATTTCTCCAGAGGAGACACGCAAACAGCCAATGAACACAAGTAAAGATGCTCAGCATCATTAGCCATCAGGAAATGCAAACCAAGACTACAGTGAGACACTTCACACCCACTGGGAGGGCTAGAATCAGAGGGACAGCAGCAAGTGCTGGCGAGGACGTGCAGACAGGCACCTCCTCCTACACTGCCGGGGGGTGTAAATGGGACAGCCGCCGTGGACCACACCTGGCTGATCCTCAAAAGGTTAAAAACAGAGTCACCAGGTGACCTAACAATTCCAGAGACAGACAAATACATCTGTCCACACGGAAACTTGTACACAAATGTTCACGTTTTCAAGGTTCATCCATGTTGTAGTATGCGTCAGAATTTCACTCATTTTTAAGGCTGAATAATATCCTATTGTCCATACTATGTTAGACCCACACTTTGATTACCCATCATCCGTCGATGGACACGGGCTGCTCCACCTTTTGGCTGCTGTGGACAAGAGTGGGCAGGGATCTGCTTGCGTCTCTGCTCTCAGCTCTTGCGGGGGACGGAGTGAACTGCTGGGTCATACGGTAACTCTACGTTTAACTTGTTGGGGAACCTCCATACTGTTTTCCACAGTGGCCGCACCGTTTTACACTCCCACCAACAGTGCACAAGGATTCCAATTTCTCCACATCCTTGCTGACACTTGTTATTTTCCGTTAAAAAAAAAAAAAAATCCCCTAATGTACGTGAAGTGGTATCTCATTGTGATTTTGACTTGTATTTCTGTAATGATGAATGATGTTGAGCATTGTTTCATGTGCTTATTGGCACTCTGCATATCTTCTTTGGAGAAACATCTGTTCAACTCCTTCGCCTGTTTTCGAATTGAGTTATTTTTTTGTTGGGGAACAGGGTTTCTTTGTGGGGTGAACAAAATGTTCTAAAATTAATTGTGGTGATGGCTGCACAGCCCAATGAATACACTAAAAACCACAGAACTATACACTTTAAATGAATGAACTTGGTATGTAAATGTGGTATGTAAATTACATCCTAATAAAGCTGTTTGGGAAAAAAGCAAGCTGGAAAAGGAGAGAGCTGAAGCTGCCTGCCAGGGACCTTGCCCATCAGTGATCTGGGAGAGCAGTTTAGACAACAGGACTCAGGGAACCTGCCAAGTAGGGGCCATGTCAAGTTGAGCCCAAATAAAACTCTGATTTGAAAAACAGCTATCCTGCTTTGTGCCTGGGTCAACCCTGGTGCCCCAAGCTCTCACAACACGTCCTCCTCCCCCACCAGCTGATCGCCCTGGGCTGCGGTCTCCCAGCCCACCCTCTGGCCACACAGAAGCAACCCCAGCAAGCCCTCCCTTGCCCAGCACCGCCCAACTCACCGATCTCGGCACTGGGCATCGCTCCTACCTGGCACCTCTTCCCGGATTTTAAACCAATCCTGCTCCCCGTATTTGGCAACCGCTTGAAGCAGCTTCTGCAGGAAGGGACAAGCAGATGGAACCTCTGCAGGCGTAGTCGCCACTTCCCCACCCTCAATTCAGTCTGTTTCAGAAGGGGACGTCAGGGGCTCAGGGGCCACTCCTGGTGTCCAGGTTAACGTCCCAGAGGACGGTTCTCCTCAGGGCCTGCAATCTTACCGCATCTTCCTCCGGGGCCCAGAACCCTTTTTTCAGGCTGGGATCTAGGCTCTTGGTCCACCGATAGATGAGCTGCATGGAGTCTCTCCCCTCCATGTAGTAGACAACTAGGGGCAGAGGGGCTGCGTGGGTGTTGCATTCTGGGTCCCCCAGAAAGGAGTCACTCTAACCACCGAAAAGGGAACAGTGGGATGCTCGGGACTATGTGACACCTTTACTTCCTCCTCCAGCCTCTCACAACTACAATTAGTGAGGTGCTCCCGCAAATCTCTGCTTTCTCATGTGAGGGGACTCAGGCCGAGGGCACAGGACGTTCCTGGAAGCCCAGTGGCCCAGAACCCAGGAGCGCAGGGCGCAGGGGCACAGACTCACTTTTCCGGTAGGGGATGTGGCTGCCGACGCGCATCTCCTGGACGAGCTGGGTGAGCATGCGGTCCTCCTGCTCCGTCCACTCCCTGCGCTTCAGGGCTGTGTTGTGCTGCTGGTACCTCTGCAGGCACTGGAAGGCGCTGCGGCTGGTCTTCCCAAGGCCCAAACCAAAGCAAAACGGGGTTACTGGGAGCACACAGAGGGACGTCCAGGCACATCTGGGTCCTAAGCGCCACACAGTAACGCACTTCTGTGAACAGTGACCTCCTTACTCGCACAAGACCCCTGTGGGGATGGTGGAGAGCATCCCCACGACAGAAAACTTGCGACCCACGAAAGAGGACCGTGAAAGACCAGTTGACACGTTCACAGAGAGGAAATACGGTCAGAAAAACTCACAAGAATACTTCACTGACATGACACCAAAACTACTGCAAACTCAAATACTCGAAGGAAACTTCCAGCTCAGCAAAGTGTGAGAGAAGGGCCACCTTACACAACACAAGCCTCTTAAACGTGGCTGCCAGCACTGTCGCTCTGATTCTGCAGCTCTGAACTGGTCTCTCTGGAGCTATATCGCAGGCAGTGAAGAGGGGCATGCGTGGGGGAAGGTGCTGGGACAGTTCTTGGGGTGGCATCCATGTCTCAGGAGACGCCCTCATAGAGAGAGCTCCCAAGTGACTGTCTTCCAGCTTCCATTCATGTTCCAGCTCAGCAAATAAACCCTCAGTCTACACAACAGACACTGCAGAGGAGACTCTGTCCCCTCATTCACTTCCTCATGGGAAAGGGGTTTTCCAAGAGCTGATTAATGGTACTGGAACCCTCCTTTTTCCTAAAGCAAACTCTTGAGTTACAGAGAACAGGCATGGCCGGACGTGTGCAGTCTGCTGAGCCACAACCTTGTGTATGCTGACGTCTTTTCAGACACAACATCAAAAGCATGACCCATGAAGAAAACAACTCAGAAGCTGGACTTCATTAAAATTGAAAACTCCTGCTCTGCAAAAGACAATGTCAAGAGAATGAGAAGAGAAGCCACAGACTGGGAGAAAATATTTACAAAAGACACATCTGATAAAGGACTGTTACTTAAAATATACAAAGAACTCTTAAAACTCAACAATAAGAAAACAAACAATCTGATTAAAAATTGGACGAAAGAGGGCCGGCCTGGTGGCGCAGCGGTTGGGTGTGCGCGCTCCACTTTGGCAGCCCGGGGTTCGAAGGTTCAGATCCCAGGCGCGCACGAACGCACTGCTTGTCAGGCCATGCTGTGGCGGCATCCCATGTAAAGTAGAGGAAGATGGGCACAGATGTTAGCCCAAGGCCGATCTTCCTCGGCAAAAAAGAGGAGGATTGGCACTGGATGTTAGCTCAGGGCTGATTTTCCCCACACACACACAAAAAAATTGGATCAAAGACCTTAATGGACATCTCACCAAAGAAGACATATGAATGGCAAATAAGCATCTGAGAATAAGAAGCTCCACATCATATGTCATCAGGGAAATGCAAATTAAAACAAGATACCACTACATGCCTATTAGAATAGCCAAAACCTGGAACACTGACAACACCGAATGCTGGCGAGGATGTGGAGCCACAAGAATTTCACTGCTGGTGGGGATGTAAAATGGTCTGGCTGCTATGCAGGTTAGCAGTTTCTTACAAAACTAAACAATCTTCCCATACGATCCAGCAATCACGCTCCTTGGTATTTACCCAAAGGAGCTGAAGACTTCTATCCACCCAAAAACTTGTACATGGATGTTTATAGTAACTTTATTCATAATTGCCAAAACCTGGAAGAAACCAAGACGTCCTTCAGTAGGTGAGTAGACAGAGAAACTGTAGTACGTCCAGACAATGGAATGTTATTCAGTGCTGAAAAGAAATGAACTATCGGGTCATGAAAGATGCGGAAGAGCCTTAAAAGCATGTGACAGTGAAAGAGGCCACTCTGCAGAGGCTGCACACTGTATGACTCCAACTCTGCCACATTCCAGAAGAGCTGAAACTACAGAGACAATAACAAGCTCGGTGGCTGTCGGGGTGAAACTGGGGAGGGACGGACAGGTGGAGGACAGAGATTTGTAGGTCAGTGCAACTATTCTCCACGGTGCCACGATGATGGAGACATGTCATTATACATTAGCCCAAACAGAGTGTCCACCACCAAGAGTGACCCCAATGTAAACTATGGAACGTCTGGTAAGTCATGTTGATAACGGGGGAGGCTGTGTGTGTGCGGGGGCAAAGGGCATATGGGAAATCTCTACTTTCCTCTCAATGTTGCTGCAAACCTAAAACTGCTCTAAAAAAAATAAAGTCTTAAAAAAAAGAAAAGGACGTAGAACCACAAAGTGACTTTTTAAAAAGCATAATTTACTAAGTAAAAGCTGAGTTATGTGTATCAAATTACATAGCAGCTAAATATATAAAGCAAAATTATTAGAGACACAACGAGAGAATGACCTTTTAATACTGTTATGTCAGGTTTTATCCAAGCTACATCAATACAACTCCTCCAGAACTGAACAGCTCTGGAGAGCAAGGTTCAATAACAGGCAAAGTCTATTTAATAAGCTTACAGGGAATCCTAGACCCTCAGGGCACAGAACACACTTCTGTTTTTAACTGGCTTTGGTACGTTTAGTCTGGTTTGCTGCAACCACATGCTTGGTCATACAAGTGACAAATTAAAAAATGGAGATTTTACAGATCACGCTCCCAGATCATGAGCCAATAAAAATCAAACTGAAGGACAAAAAGGATTCCAAGAAACCTGACTATTTAAAAATAAGAAAACATATTCTTACACAAACTAAGATCCAAAGAGGCAACAAAAACTGAAATTATAGCTACTCTAAAAATCTATAAAAAGGAGAACATTTGCTCCTTCTGTTCTGAACCAAGCTGTTCTCAGAAAAGCAAGCTTTAAATGCTTTCATTATTAAAGACCATAGCCAAACGAAGAACTCAGGCCTCACCTAAGGAAATGAGAAAAATAGAAGAACCTAAAAGAAACTAGGGCAAGTGTTCTTCTCAAACAGTGCCAAAACAAACTCCTGAGCTTGACTGGGAGAGAGGAAGAGGGACGAGGGAGGGAGGGGAACAGACAAGGCAACAGGGACTGAGGGGCTCGAAGCATCTGAAGACTCAGCCAAGGGGGTGGGGAGGGGTTAACCTCCCTGAGGGCCACAGCCTCAAAAGCAGCAGGATGAAGAAATCTGAAGGTTCTGAGGGACCAGCACGGCCGTGGTATGACACACAGCCCGTGGAGACCCCAAACCCAGCCCGGCCTCCCAGCCACAGAACCCACACTGCCCTCAGGGTCTTAGAGGCCCCTCAGGTCCTTACCCCCAGCTCCTCGGCGATTTTCTGCCACTCCAGGTGGCCGTGCTTGGCCGCGATGGCCTTCAGCTGGTCTACTTCCTGTCCGCTCCATTCCTGCTTGTTGATGCTTGGGTGCTCAGAGTTCTGCCAGAACTTCCGGATCTCCTTGGCACTGCGGGCTCCTTCAAACTGTGCCGACAGAGAAACCCAGCCTGTGGGCGCTGTCACACTCTGACAGCTGGCAGCTTGGCACACGGGGAGAAGTAGGTGGGACCTCTGTCCAGGTCACCAGGCTTACGCAGCCAAACTGTAGATTTGGCTCCAAATACAAAGCCTGAAGCCTTTGCAACCACCCATCTCAGAAGAGGTGCCTTGCACCAGCAGGGAGGGCCCCACGAAGCCACTCCACACTGCTGGACACGCACTTGACCAGATGGGGTCACGGCAGGTCTGGTGGCCACAGAGGACATGACCTTAATCTGAAGCTGAGCCTGTCAATTCCAACCCACACCCTTGGCTGCCAGGACAGTGCTCCCCGCAACTTACATTAACGTTGGAGATTTTCTCCCAGTCATGGCTGTCTAGTCTGCTCCCTAGCAAAGCCTCCTCTGGCAGCTGGCTGGAAAGCAACGAGGGCACGGCGGTCACATCTGGCCCCCTTGGCTCACCCTGGACCACACCCTCCCCTGCAGGACCCAGCTCACTTGATAGCCTGGATCTCGCTCTCCGCCTCCCTGCTCTGCATCTCGAGGACCTGCCTCTCCGCCTCACTGGTGACCCTGCTCTGCTTCTGCTGGAGGTATTCGAGCCTGGAAGGCAGAGCAAAGGCGCCAGGGTCACCAGTGGCAATGTGCACTCTTCGAGGGACTTGGGCTGACTCAGCCCTCCTGTGGATCCAGGTGGGCACCCCACGAGGCTGGTTACTCCACACAGCCCAGCACAGCGGCGGGGGGCACGCACTCAGAGCTTGATTCAAATCCCCACCCTGCCTTTCGCAGACAAGTTACTCAGTCTCTCTGAGCTGCCTCGGTTTCCTCGCCCACAGAGAAAACAGCCACAACCCCTCTCCAGGCTGTCACCACAGTCACATCAGCGGCTAGTGCAGCAATGAGTTTGCTGGCGCAGATGGTAATAACTGCCAGCCGCCCCCATGTTTTGGAGCCTGGTGTCCCAGCTCCCAGCCCTGCGCCGGGCACACGGGGCGGAACATCCTGACTCGTGCCCGGCAATGAGGTCAAAAGCTACTTCTCAAGGCTGCAGTCTCCGGCTACAGTAAATAACCACTTCTGGAACGCACCAGGAGGAAGAAACCCAGCCCTCCCACAGCCTGACAAGGGACCCAACTGTCCCCGCAGCTAATCCTGACCGGCACATCAACCCCTGAGGCAGCAGGTGGCCCCTGGGTCCCCCTGGCCTGGCCACGGGTGCTGCGATTATGTCATGTGATGTCACCCCATCAGCGCACATGTAAAGCAGGTATCATGAACGGTCCACATGTTCACTGGTGGAAACCGAGGCGCAGACCAGACAAACTGCCTGAGCCTCACAACTGAACGTGGCCGCTTAGCCTGACTCAGCTCTCACACACTTGACACCTTGATGCTCAAGCTGCCTCCTTCGGGAGAAAGTTCAGGGATCAGCACCTCTCCCGCTGTGAGCAGGGGGCACGGCTTAAACCGAGCCTCGCCCCTCAAAAACCCGCCAGCTGGGACTTTTCCCACTCACCGGGGACGACTGGTTTCGCTCGTTGTTTTTACACTTACTTCAGCAACTTGGGCTGGAGCAAACGCTGCAGGCGGTCGCTCACCACTGACTTTCGGAGCAAGGCCTTTTCCCAGCTTTTCCCTGAGGAGAAATGACATCAAGGGCGCTCACACGGGTGCCTTCCCCAGAACGCACGTTCTCCAGTGGAATCCTCTCGACAGCCCTCGCACACCATCGGCTCTGGCTCCCACACCACAACGCGGCGTGTGAATGACCCCTCCAGGTGCGAAGCAAGGATGCGGCTGTGCTGTCTGACACCCCAGGATGCGGGCCGAGCTACGAGCCAGCAAGGGAGCCAGGCCGCAGGCGCTGGGCCCCCCGTCCAGGGAGCACAACTCCACCTGGGCCTGGCGCAAGCTTGTGGCAGGGCCTCCCGGGGCTTCGTGTTCTGGGACGGCGGGGAGAGACTGGAGTTAGCCACGGGGGTGGTGGCCCCAGCCTGCCCCTCATGACAGCATCCTCGCAAGGACCCCATTCAGTGTGGGAAAGGCAGCGGCTCTGAGTGGCCAGTCCCAGCAGTCAAGGTCCGACAGAGCCCATGAAGCCACAGGAGACCTGCCCGAGAACCGCAGCACGTGTCTGGGGAGAGGCAGAGGTGTGGCAAAGCCCTCCACAGCGCCCAGGCTTGGCGGGCACTGAGGGCCGGACCTGGGCTCTTACATTTGGTCACCAGGAGCTCCTCGAAACTCTTGATGCCCTGAGCAGCCTTCTCCCGTGTGTCTTCGTTGGCAGGAGGCCCCTGTCAGAGAACGCAGCATCACAATCCAGGTTGCCCACCTGAAGGGCCCAGCACGTCCCTCCAGGGTCCCCACTGGACTCAGGACTCCCTCCCCTAACTCTCCTTAAGCAGCCCTGCCAGGTGGGAGGCCGGGCACCGGATGCCTGGACCCAGAGCCGCTGCCTGGTGAGCGACTCTGCGGCATGACCCAACTGGCACAGGGTGGGCTCCGTGAGCCCATGAGAGGTGACAGGAGGGCAGGGCTGCAGTTAGCAACACTGGAACCTGCGCTACCAGGACTGATAATCTCTGTCAAGCTGCCCCACCTGTGGGGCCACCTCTCAAGGAAATGCCCCAGAGGGCTTATCCTTGGAGCAGAGATCAGCTTGCCCCGTTCCAGTGAACAAGGCCTTGACTTTCACTACTAGACCCGGCAGAGAGTTTTAAGGAGATTGAATATTATTATCCTGAAGAACCTATGAGAATTTACAACACCCACAGCAAATTGTGGGGACAAGAACCCCTTCCCACGGAGCCTGACCCTCCCCTTGCTGACGAGAGCGGGGCCCCGGCCACTCACCACTCCGGTGAGCCTGTCCTTGAAGTAAGGCTTCATGAAGTGCCCTATGTACAGATTGGAGGGCAGGCTCTTGCCGTCCTTCCCCTCGGGGCCTTTGGACCCCGCCAGGTGCCACGTGACTTCCTCCTGCGGCAGACACAAGGGCCCACCTGTGGGCCAGGCAGTGGCGACTCTCCCTGTGGAGAAGGGGACCCGGGCAGCTGGGGAGCAGACCCAAAGCCCTGGTCCTGGGGTCCTGGCTGTGGGGAGTTTGGGGCCAGACCCCGTCCTACCTGCTGCTCCCGGTTCTGGGCCAGCAGCAGGCTGACCTCCGCCAGCTTCTCCTGGATGACCTCCTGGTAGACCATGTTCAGCTGCAGGCACGTCTCGGGGTCTTCAGGGAGGGCCTTCTCCTTGGGGTCGTCCTCATCGTTGCTGGCTTCACCCCCTCTGTCTTCTTCCTGGTTACAAGTGGGAAACCGTGGATGACAAATGAGGCGCACACTGTCCCGTCCTCAGGGCGCGCTGTGTGACAAGTCTCTAAGCCCACGTTCCGGCCACTGGACAGGCGCGGGACCACCCTGATGCGGAGCTGCGCAGCGTGTGTGCACGCTCCCTAATTTAAAACATGAGAGGGGCCGGCCCGGTGGCGCAGCGGTTAAGTGCGCGAGCTCCGCTTCAGCAACCCGGGATTCGCCGGTTCGGATCCCGGGTGCACACCGACACACGGCTTGTTAAGCCGTGCTGTGGTGGCGTCCCATATAAAGCAGAGAAAGATGGGCACGGATGTCAGCCCGGGGCCAGTCTTCCTCAAGGAAAAAGGGGAGGATTGGCAGATGTTAGCTCAGGGCTGGTCCTCCTCGCAAAAAAAAAAAATAAATAAATAAAAATAAAACACGAGAAAACTCAACTTCCAGGAACGTGTTTCAAGTGGGGGAAACGTGAGCAGATGCATTTGCACTTTCTACAACAAACGTTTCTGTGACATCTGAACGTGATAACAGACTCGTGTGACCCCCGTCGCTGGCAGGCAGTGAGGAGAACGGGTGTGAGGACGGCTATGGTGGTGTCAGCAAAACCACGAACCAGAAATGATCCCAATGTCCCCCAGCAGGCGCTGAGTCTGAAGAGCTGGGGAACTGTGCACATCCACGCCAGGGGGACCACTTGGCCACTGAAAAAAGGAGGCAACTCTCTACTCATTGACTTGGTGGAAAAAGACAAACCAAGTTGTAAAAATTTCCCCAAATAACGTAAAATTCCACAATAAAAAACGGTTAGTCTTAACTGGCAGAGCTGTGATTACTTGCAAGGCACTGTTCTAGGCGCTCACATATGCAAACTGCTAGTGCTGCAACTCTCTAGGTGAGCTACAACCGGCAGGACCCAGGCCGCCTGCTCACTGCCTTCCACGTGCAACGTCACGTCGAGACGAACACATGTCAGCAGGAGCTCAACACAGCGGGAAAGCATAGACACCAAGCTAGTATCAGTAGTTGTTTCTAGGAACAATTTTAATTTTGATGATAAATGCTGTACGACACTTCATCTTTAATAACAAACACATGTTACTCTTATAACTCAAAAAAACCAAGATGAGCTCAAAGCACTCCCTGTCCCGGGCCCAATGAAGGGTGGTGTGCCTGCCTCAGTGGGCACAGCCAGCTCAGGCCAGGAATTACCGAGATCGCAGGACCAGCAGCGTCCGAGTCCTCATCGGGCAGCGAATCTGTGGGAACGCAAGCACACCATGTTGGTGACCAGTGATGGAAATGGGTGGCTGGCGATGGGATGCCACAGGCGCCAAGGAGACCAACCAGCCGGTGCAGCACATGGCCCATTTGCAGGGCAGCCGCAGACAAGGGAGGGACTGAGGCCTGGTGGGCTCAGAGGAGATGAAAGACCTCAGGGTAAGACTTGTGTGCGTGGACCTTCCCTCCCCGACAGCGCTCTGCAGCTGACACCACTCACTGACCAGGCGGGGCGGGTACTGGACCAATGGCAGGGGCAAACAGAAAGGGAAGACACCAGCCTAACATCAAGTGCCCGCAGGGCATGGTGACTGCAATCAGGGGAGGCTCCACAGGAGACGGAGCTGGTCAGAGGCGGGAGGGTACAGATGCAGAGGCCATGATAACAGCGAAAGGAAAGGCCCCTGCGTGAAAGGTTGGGAACCTCAGAGCTGCACCTGGGGCCCCGGGAGAGGTAGGCAGGCCAAGGGGCCCTGGACGGCTCAGCCACTGCAGGCAGGCCTCCATTCAGAGCTGCGGCAAGGGCACTCAGGGCCCAGGGAAGCACCGAGAGGAACGTGTGGCAGAGTGGCAGCAGGGATCTCACACAGAGGGCAGTCGGACGAGCCCAGGGAAGAGATCTGGTGGGGGTCTCAGGTGTGGTGACTGTCTAGGCATGGCGGTGGCTGACGAGCTGAGCTCTGGAACCTTCTGATTCCTGAGGAGGGCAACCCGCCTCCCCCTCCTAGGACAGCCCACTGCAGATGCCCACCGCTGGGCAGGGTGCTCACGTACAGCCAGCAGGTCCAGGGGCTGATGAAGGAGGCATGGTAACAAACTGTCCAGTGGAGTAAAGGCAGAGGCCAGTTTTGGCGAGGAAGCAGGGCCTGATCCCAGCAGCACTGCCGCATACTGTGGCTAGCAGGAGCCCAAGGGCAGACACAGCTGTTCTCACCTCGGCGCGTGGGGTCTTACCTGCGTCCGAGTCTGAATCGAGACTTGATTCTGAGACCTCCACGTTGATACTTGAGGAGCTGGGATCCAAAATCCTTTCCAGTTCCTTGATCTCCTTCGTTATCTTCTCTCTTTCCGCATCTATATCCATGACTCCTGCCTGCCTCCTAAACACATCACAAGCTGTGAGAAAACAAGCGTGCCAGGGGGTCCCACTCTCCTCCAGACATGCACGCCTGCAGGGGACGGCAGAGGCCTGCCCGAGGCAGGCCCTGGACTCCCAGAGGCTGCGGTCTGACGCCCTCCCTGGCCCCACGAACTCCAGCTCTGTGCTGTGTCAGGTGCTGAAGCCACGGGAATGCATCCCGCCTGCTCCGAGCCTGCGACCAGCACGAGGGGAGAGTGACGGGCACCAACCGCCCGGTCTCCGTCTCCCGCACCAAGCCATGAGTGAGCCGGCTGCCCAGCGCAGAAAGAGCAGGCTGTGGCGGCACTCCCTGGAAGACAAGGAGGAGGCCCACGGCCGCGAGAAATCTGACGCCAGGGCCGCAGGCGCAGAACTGGACGCACAGAGCGTGTCTAGGAGACGTGCAGCGAACAGACTGACCAGGCGCCGCACTCACAGCAGGGCACGGAAGCCCCCGGGCGGGGCCTGTCTCCAGACCCAGAACAGCACCGGCCCGGGTTCAGCGTCCGACACCGAACCCTGCTTGTTGTTGAAGGACCAGAACCTCCCTTCTTCAGAGCGCCGGTCTGGGAAGGCTACAGGGGCGGGACGCCGGGGAGGGACAGGGCGCAGCGCACGCGCGGCAGGGCGACCCCCGGAGCACGAGCGCCGCGCCGGAGCCGAGGACGCGCAGGAGGGCCCC